TTTTACGCATGGGTAGTCAGTGTAACATACGTACAAAATTAGGGGTGGTTCGTGTAAGAACAAAAAATGAATGGGTGATTTGTGTAATTTCACTAAAACTCGGGGTGAGTGTAATTTACTCTATATATATTGTCTGTATAAAGTTTTATACATAATCACTACATTACCTATTAATAATGATTAAATATGAATGATGAATGATGTAGTAACGGTGCATAACTTTTATATATATATATATATTTCACTTCATATTATTACTTATAAGTGCTATATACATATATTTGGCTAGGGTAATTTTTCACTAAATGGTAAACATATGATTTAAATTCACATTTTATTATCTAAATGTGGAATTTCACAAATTAAACTATGGGAAGCATAATAAATTTGCTAGTTTCTAAAATTGATTTGGTTAATTTGTCCTTTCAAAAAAGTTTAATTTTAATCAAATATTAGCAACACTATCGTTTGTTATGCACTGCCACAAATTAAGGAACAAAAATTAGGTGTGAGAAATATTATTTGATTTTAAATATATGGCATAGTAAAAGTGTAAAACATTATTAATTAGGATAGTATAACATAGTATTACTCAATGTAGGGATAAAATTATTATTTTCAAAAGTTATTCACTCATCTTAGGTAGCCCTTATTATACAAGACAAAGTATAAAATATTGAGAAACATAGCTTATAATATAACCTTCTTTTTAGTTGGCCTTGTCACTAAGTAGCTAAAAAAATAGATTATGTGATGCGAAGAGCATCTGTAAAGTGATCAATCACACAAAAATTTGGTGTCCTTTGAAATAAGAGAATATATAGGGAGTGAGCAAAATGATAATAATTCTTATAAAAATAGTTAGAATTATAAATCTGAACTATAAATTTGAAACATACAATCATATATGAATTATTATGATTATAAGTTAATTAATATACACTTGTTATTTTCCCATATGATACAATAGTGATGAAAAATTGGACAAACAGGATCTGGATGAAGAATATTTAAAATTTCTTAATTGATATTTTGCATTGGTTCTTGACAAGACAACATATAAGGATGTAGCAACGTGATCAATACTGATAGGAAGAATTTCCCTTATTAATTAACAGAATATTCGTATTGTTTCTGATATTGCAATGTGAATTTTTGGAAAATGCAAAAAACTTTTTGTAATTATTCTCGAAGAGGGATCCACTTACTCCAAGAGTAAGTGGAAAATACTTATTTCATATTTTAGCCATCTAATTTTAAAAAATCCAATGGTTTAGATGTATTTATTAATTCAAACCATTAGATTTTCCAAGAATGAATGATCATGATATGAAGTAGGTTTTTTCAAGTGGATCTCTCTCCCTGTTATTCTTATATGCTATTGCTTTGTGAATATCAGAATTCAGAAACTTCAATGTGTGTGCTGTTCTATGCCCACCACCTTTTGTGTCACTCATTTTCCTAATGTATAAACATAATTTTCCATGTTTATCATAAGATAGATGACGCAATTGTATTTATATTTGCTATTCAACCATGCACTAGAATATTTTATGTTACAACCGTGATCCTACTAATCCTTTTTAGGTGTTTCTCTCTCTCAACAAATGTCATTCTCGAGAATTGAATTTTCACCTTATATAATATATGAGAATCCAGTAAAATCTTATATCGCTATATTAATGTTTAGGTAATCACCCGGAACCATCAAAATTTGTCTCAATTCACTAAAACAAAATGAATCTTATACTAACTCACATGTCAATAATTTAACGAGTTTAATATCTATGCAATATTAGTATAAAAAATTTTGTACTCACAATACATCATTCAACATTAATTTATATTACTTTTGTTTAAGAGTTAATAATAATTAACATATGAATGGTGGATAATGTATAGACACTCTAAAAAGCAGAATAAAAAATGGGGGTGATGGTGGTCTCTCACTAAGTAGTGTCACAATGGGAATCTCGTTAGTTTTTTCACCATAGAACAGGAAGGGGTAAAAAAACATTGGTTTGTTTGGTCTTAGAAAAAGATTTATGTTTTAATTTTTATTGATATTTGATAATTATATTAATTACCATATTTACATTCTTTTTTCTTGATGGATAATTGTGAAAGATCACCCCCTATATACAAATCTTAGAAATAAAAAACAAACAAAAATGAAATAAAAACACCGGTCCACCATCTTATGATGTTTCAAAATCTATCTGAGTCTAAATGCTTTTGAGTCAAGAAAAATATATGATGTTTCAAAAACTTTCTGAGTCTAAAAAATGTTTAAGAAACTTGAGAAGAAATGCAAAATTCGTGTATATTATGTCCTTAAAATAAAACTAATTAAAATCTATTTAACTAATTAGCTTGTTACTACACTACTTTAAATTCTACTTCTCAACTCAATTCACATTAAACGTGTTCACGTTGACATGGCCACCATATCTTTAATTGGATTCTATCACAAAATTACACAAAACAAAACTGGTGTGAAGCTGAATAAGATAAGAGAATTTGTTAATGGAGTTCGGCCAATTGGCCTGAGTTTATGTCTCCGATAAAATTGAAAGACTACCAAAATATTATTAGAGAATAAGAATTACAAAATTTAATAGATCCATGAACCCAAATACGCATATGATATGTTTAATTTGTACTTATATTTGATGTACATACTGGACTCCGTTTTAATATATAACAGTAACTAGAATAATGATTTAAAATACCGTGGGAGTTGTGTCATAAGCAGAACCACAGAATACACGTTAGTCCATTTAGAGGATGCAAAATTTCCACAGCAACGCAAGAAAGTGCAATGATTTGAGAGATCACTACAATTTGTCTGTGTAGAGTGGAGTATCATAAACAAAAAAAGACAATAGGTGTTTCTTAAGTGATCCACCTTTAAAAGTAAGGGTTATAGATTTGACTAAACAGCCATGGAGTGTTTCTTTGCTTCTAAGTGCTAGCTGAGTCTCAAGCCAGCGAACCTTGGTCTCTTTCGTTAAATGTCCTTCAAAATAAGTTATAAACATCAATTTGAATTTGAGCAGTATGTACAACTTATTTGGACATTTTTGACTCTTAATTAAACACGTATAAAAATATAATTAATTGATTGTATTGAAATAAGTTTTATATTGCTCGCATCTTTTTCTAAGTATGACTTATTCTCTTCAAAGTAAATTGCTACATAATTTTCCTCAACAATGTAGTTTAAATATATGTTAAGTAGATGGGCAGAAATTATCTGTACCCATTCCTATCCTCACTCCTGTCTCGATTTTTGTCCCGGTCTAATGAACAAGTGTGACTTAATTAAAAAAAATTAAAACGCATATTAATATTTTTATATTATTTAGACGATGTTGATTGGTTAGGGATATAGAGATTTTGGGAAGAAGAATACTGTTTCTAAGTATATAGCAGGTACTATGTGAATTTCTTTTTTTAACAAAAGTATGTCGACTAGCCTCAAATCATATGTTTCTTTTTATTATTAACATAATGTTATATTAAAAAATAAATTATGATAGGATAATAAAATATTTGAGTAAATAATTTACAGTGTGAATATCTTCATCATCATTATTCAACTGGAAAATTGAATTTATAATGTAAATTTGATATAATATTTTTGATGAACTGATATAAGTATAACTATAATAATTGTGAAGATATAAATTGTTGGGTATAAATATATGTTTTATCATTGTTCTTTTCCTAGTGCCTGTACTACATAAAGTGATAGCTATATTGTTAATTTTTATATAAGAAGATAACTTAATTCCTCCGGTCAGTAAAAGAATGACATTTATATTATTTTGTTTAGTTTTAGAAATATTTTTATAGAAAATGATTAAATGATACACATTTCACGATTTTAGTGGCTGAAGGAGATAATTTACCTCCTTATACCAGGAGATACATTATTTTCTTTACTAATTGTTGTACTACTTTTTGTAATCGTGCCCTCTCTCAATTAAAAAAAATACACAAAAAAACACAAAAAAATAAAAGAGATCGAAATACTAATTATATAATTAAGTAGGTCTAGCTCAAGATAACCAAAGCAATTTTCAAACTCAATATGCATATCATGTAACAAAATCATTAGTTCTAGCTAGTAAAATGTAACTTCTATGAAAAATGAGATTTATCTTACTACCTAATTAATGGAATATGCAGACCATGTAATTTATGCTTCTCTTTTATCACAAACCTTAAATTTTGATGAATGGAAAATAGGTGTTCAATAGTATGTTTTAACTATGTCTCATCCAATAAACTTTTGATACTAAATAAAAAATTATCACTTTAATTTTATTTTTCATTACTCAGTTTTTTAATAAATATTTATTTTTTTACATCAATTTTGATTGATCATGTTCTTAAAACAAGATATGTAACCCAATTACAAAACAGTACATAGTAGAGTTACTAGATTTCCTTTATCTTTTGCTCCCAAATCACACGTCACATGCATTCTTGTGTCACGATTCATGCTTTAATCATTGCCGATGAAAACTGGATAGTCCAATACAGAGATGTGTGGTCCATATTAAATTGATGATTTAAAATAAAACTTTAATTAAAACTAAGTTAAAATATAAACCATTAAAAAAATGTTAAATGACATGTGTCATTATCTCATCCAATACTAGACTTTCCAGGATCCAGATTGGATGAAGCCCCGTCATTAATATCCACAACACCTTCGGTCATACTTATAAGAAATTGAAAACAACAAAAATTATAATGTAATGAAAATTAATATATTACTTTGGAAAATGCTGTAATATCTATTTCCTTTATCCTTAGATAGAAAACAAAACTATAATGTTCAAAGTGAGGTTAAAGAATCTAAAATAAAAATAATGTCATTTTTTGAGAGAGTTCATTCAATATTTCATCATACAAAGGGGGCTTCACATATCCCTTAGCCAGCAACTTGCACACTTATCCTACATCAAAGCCACCATGCATACTGAAAATTAAACCTTGTCTCTCCGATCCTCTTCTGTTGTGAAAGGATTCCGGACTCTCTTATCTTGCTCGAAAGAGGATCCTGAATCCTTCTCCATCATCAGAGAGGATCCTAAGTCCTCTTTTGTTGTTCGATAGAATCTTTCATCTTCTTTTGTTGTGAGAGAGGATCCTATTAGATGTCAGAGTGGACCCTCATTCATTGTCAAAGTGGATCCAAATCATTCTTTAATTGATCACACATGCAATTTCAATAGTGGTCGAGTGGCTGAGAATAGCTGCTTCAACAGAAGTGGAGCCTCATTGAAGTGAAATGGGGATCTAATCAGTAATCACTTCCAATCATCACAACAATTTTGTCTCCTAAATGTGACCTATTACATATTAAATATTATATATATATATATAGCTAGGTGACCAACTTGGTAAATGGTAATAAGTCACATTTAAGAGGACAAATTTGCTAAGGGAAGCATTTGAATATTAAGAGACTTCTTTAAGTTTAAAAGATTAATGTAGGGGAAAAATAATAAAATTTACTATTATTAGTATCCAGTCCAATTGGTAAGCACGTCGACATTAGTTTGAATTCTCCTATTAATTTAAAATATTTATTAATGGATAATAGTAAATATTTTGTGTTTAAATTATGTGAGATAATCTTTTAATTGGGGAGTAAGCTTTACATTGCATTTGCATTGTTGTCTTGGATGTGAGTTAAATACTAATTTCACTAATATGAACATAAATCTGTTGTCCAAAATAATGTATCATGTCCCGCGTAAAAAAACATGTCATATCAATTAAAAAATTAAAACATTTATTATTATTTTTATTTTTACTTTATTATCATTGATATAGGATAAGATTTCAGACATGATGTGAGAGTGTGGAAGGCCCATGGCGCTGCTTTATTTTATTGGTATGTTTATTTGAATAAATCTTATAAGATTCTATTGTATTTAAATATTTTAATTTGAGTTCATTTAGTGAACATAATATTATAGACATTATACTTAAAACCATATGGCTCTGCAAAATTTAAAATTTATTAATTAATACTTTGTAGAACTTTGGTTTTAATTTTTAAGCACCCAATAACTACAATATTATGTCATGACAATATCTATCATTACAATTAATTCTGTGATGAAGCTTACCAATTCTAATCTTGGTGGACTTAAATACCCAACTCATCTAATTTTTTGTTTTAAAATTGGAAATGAAAAATACATAAGATCTTTTAGAGGGTGGAATTGAAAAATAGAAAAAAAAAAAAAAGAACCCTTTTCTAGAACTTGAAATGAGCAAGTGGATTAGAGAGGGTGGAATTGAAGTGGAGACATGAAGCTGCAAAAGGGTCCTTCTAAGTAACAAATATTGGAACCGGTTGTGTTAGTGAGAAGCCAATTAAGATCTCTTACAAAATTCATTTTGTGTTTGTGTTTTAACTTTTCCTTTCTCACTTAGGTTGTAGACTTTTCAAGGGGAGGGGTGTGCTAGATTCCACTATGAAAATAATATAGAATTCTCAACTCATTATTTGTTAATGGTTTATGATGGGGTCGAGGTTCTCAAAAGCACATGATTTTTTATATTTTTGTCAAGGGTTTGGTACCTTTGTTTTTGTTCCTTAATATATTTGTCTGTTTCTCAGGTGAAGTTGGATTAGGTTGGAAAATTTCTAAGCATGGCTAATTAATGCTACGTACCAAAGAGAGCACTAACACAACAGACAAATGCTATGAATTTATGATATTTTATCATGAAGGGACATACTTTGTGGGATAACAGATGTGCTCCCGCATATAGTAGGGGTGAGCAAAACCTAATCCTACTCACTCATCTGGTATAACCCGACCATGATTTGACCCGAATTGTGTCGGGTCTAGGGAGGGTTCGAGTTAAAAATTAGAGCCGACCGATATTTAGGACTGGGTAGGGACAAATGATCCGACCCAAACTATTCGCAAGTTACTCCCTCATCATGTTTGTATGTGTCTCTATTCATTGTATAATGACAACTCTTTAGTCAAAAGTCTTCATTGATTCTCTAATTTTTTTCATAATATATACATGATTTTTTTTGTACATATTATATATACATGATTAACAAAATATACACATATATCATTTCATATGTCAAATTATATAATTCATAATAATAAATAATATTGAGAAGACTTTATCTAAAAATGATATGTATTATATTTAATCGGATTTAAGGTCGACTTGGAGTTTACTTCAGGGAAAAGACAAACCTTATCCCCAATCCATAGTATATACCATTCTCCAAATTGTAGACGCCCATGAGTACTCATTGAAAATATACAAAGATGACTCCCTCACTTGATTGAAATATTGAACAACTCACAACTACTTAAACACTTCTTTTAATTAGATAATCATGAGTGCGTCAACATTATGTATCAATTGCCAAATAAGTGAGTATATTTTTTTGTGCCAAACTTTCAATTTATATCTCCATTTTGCAAATAACGACACATTAAATAAACCACTAGCCTTTATTCCCATGCTTCCCTCCTCAAAGTATTTTTAGGGTGCATATAGGCTAGAAAGGACCTTAATAACGGGTGCATATCTGTTTCATATAAGTGACATAATTTGTTAATTGATTAGAAAAAAATATTTACTCATTAAATTTATAACTACATTTTTTTCAACGAAATACAAGTGATAACACATATAATAACACAACACGTGGAATAAGATATATCCTCATGTTAATAAGGGTGATTCTACTTCCAATGACAAATTTTTACCTTGGCAGGAAAATAGGTTCCTTTGTATTAAATCAACAATTGGTCTCCACACGTAAATAAGGATATGGAATCAAGGTTAGATTTTAGCTTAAAACTTTTTCTTTATAATATATAGGAGAATAGGTTTAATTTCTCTAGTAGTGGTTTAAAGTCTAACATATTTAAAAGTCTGATCTGATCTATTAACATATTTAAAGACATGTTATATTATAAGGGCTTTGAATAGGTCAACAAACCTATATTTAAATAGGTTTAATTTTATTGTTCATCTAACACTAACAATAAAATTTTATTTTATATACATTCTGTATATTAAATTTTAATATATTAAGTTATATTAAAATAATATAATATGAATATTATTATATTATGTAATTAAATAGGACAATTTGTTAGACTTAGTAAGCCACTTAGATGACTTAATATCTGGTCTATTAAGCCAAATAGACTTTTTAAAAAGTCTAAGCCTATAATCCATTTACTACAAAGTTCGATTTAATTTGACTTAACTTGTTCTAGGTCAAATCAGTGTTTTAGATTGCGGTTGCCCTCACGATTACGATTACTGTGATTGTGGTCTATGCGGTTTTAGCATTTCGAATTGCAGCCATTGCAGCGTCAACTATATAAAAATAATCTATAATTACTATAACTATTATTATTATATTTTATTCATTATTTGATTTTGTTTAAGGACAACTAATAATTTAAAATATATTTTTAATATAAATAATATAATTTTAAAATTAAAAGAAAACATTTTATCATATTTTTACATTAACAAAAGAGAATTACATTCACTTAGAGGAGTACAACTTGTACAACATATTTTAATTCTCATCATCATCAAATACTTAATTAAGAAGTAAATCCTAGATTCACATATATGACATGACATATCTACAAAATAAAGTAATATAAAACATCACAATTAATATGTTATAAAATGTCACTTAAAAAACCTTAAGAAAAGTAAAGGAAATTATTAAATCCACTAGAGTACTCACATCAACATTGTTAATTGTTACCACATGTTAGAATGGCGTGGAGGATGATAATCTTCATTATCATCTTAACAATCATCTCGTATAGCTCCTTGTCCAAAGACATAACCAAAAAATTCATGACTTGATTGTTGATAATAAGGTTCTTGACAATCTGTTGATGAGGATTAGTAAGGTGAAAATTATCCACTTGTATACTGATCATGTGTAAAATAACCATGTGGATAATATGTCAGATGTGTTGGATTGTATCATTGACTCCTTTGGGATGTTTCATCAATGCTAAAATCACTAAAACTTTGTGCAAGACTAGAAGAGGAAACATCTTCAAATGTAATATTTTATTTCCTTTTTCTTTTCCTTGATTGCGACTCTGTTCTACTGTTACTATTAAATGAATTACTAGAATGAACTATACCTGATCTATCATCGTGAGATCAATTAGGTTATAATCACGCCTATGCAATGACATCTCCTCATACGGATCATTCTGCATTTCCTCACCTTCATCATCATTTTCTCCAGCCTCAACATTACCTTTGTCATTGTCACCATCATCACTTGCTGAGCTTAAACCACCATTATTATCAGAATTAACAATATCACTATAAACTTCCATATTCTCGCTTTCATCATCAATATCAATTATAGGAAGCTACTCTACATTTTATACTCCACATAATGCTGAATTTTCCTTTTCTTCTATACATTCAGACAATGGATCATCTTCTTGAAATATGTTGTCCAGATTAATAGGATTGAAACTTGCTTCAATTTCTTCTTGAATTCTTCTCATTTCAATTCTCATTTTTAACTTCATATTGGAGAATTTATAGACAAGTCTATGCAACCTATTATATGCGAGTCTATTCCTTTTCTTTGTATGAATTTAATTAAATGATCTCCAATTTCTCTTACAATTTGTGGCTGAAGTTGTTTGTCGGAGAACTTTAATTACAATACTTTTAAGTTCAGGAGAGCATGAACCAATTATCATGCACCATTCATCTATCTGTTTATGTCAACATGGAAAATAAACAAGTTACTATACTCTTAAAAAGTTTTTTAAATATACTATTATAAAGAAAATGAGAAATGTTATTTTACATATATTCATTCTAGACCAAGCTGCTTGAGGTGTATCAAATGTCTTTATTTCTAAAAAGAAGAAACTGAATAACATAAAACAACATGTCATTATGAACTAGTGAACTTGATTCAAATCTTTAATTTATTTATTCATGCCTCTTTCAAGTTTCATGTTGACAATACTTGTTCCATCAAATGTTCTTTATAGATATTAGTTCCATGTTCAATTCCATATTGGAATTGCGGGTTAAGAAAATAACCTATCAATTTATTAATGTATGAGTATTAGAATGAAGATATGGAATAATGAATCATGTGATAAAATTGAATATAAATTTTACTAACATACCTTCAAAGTCAAGATCAGAGTGCATGAATTTCCATCTATTGTCAACTATATCATTGTATTAAGAATGATAGTGTCATTTTTTTGAATTGATTGTTTAGCTCGGTCAATTGCTCCATAAAGAAAACCGGTTGTGGGCTTTGTGTCACCATCCACTAACCTTAGTACTTTGACTATAAGCTCAAATACTTTTATTATATCGGTAGCCCTACTCCATAATTCATGACCCAACACAATTTTCTTTGCTTCAAGTGTTGCTCCATTCTTTTGTCCGTAAAATTTAGATTTTTTGAATTCTTGAGAGTTGAACATTTGTTTCAAACCTTGTTTTTGATTCACAATCACTTGAAGCTGCAAGCACTTTGTTGTAAATCGAGTGAAGTCAGGACGAACAATTTATCTACCTCTAGTATATTTTTTCATAAGATTTAGTGTCCATATGGTTGTAGATGAAGGTTGTCACCGTCTTTGTTTCCTCCAATGATTTGTGTACGCTTTTATTTTTTCCAATATCCTCCAAACTCCAAAGATTGGTGGGCATGCTATTATACTTAACCATTTCCACACCATATATATTATGCAGTTCAACAATTAATCCTTTTTTATGTCAAATCCACTTGATTCATATCGTCACAAATAGTGTTGCACTATCTCAAAGGCTCTCTAGCACAAGACCTC